ATTCATCCTAATTCAAGGATTTATCCTTGAAGTTTTCCCAAATGGATTTAGGGTCATTAGGAAGGGAAGAACTAACTAAAGAAAGGAATGATCTCAGGAAAAGATAAAAATAATAAAAATAGAGTGTCTTAGAAGGCAAAAGATGCTGCAGAAAAGGAGAAAGAGACCTGGGAAATCACCTTTGCACTTAAGAGGAATGAGTCATTGGGCTGTAATTTAGTTGTGTTTACATAGCAGGCACTAGTTGCTGGATGACAGTAAAATAAAGCAAGGATAAACTGAAGTGAAGAAATAGCAGAAAGAAATAAAGTTGTCTCAGAAGTTTATAGAGAATCAAAGAGATGCCAAGTTATTTAGCTGCTTCAATCTTACTTTCCAGGACCAGTATATATGTGGCACGTATAAGACACAGAACATATCTGAGCCTAATTGATTCTGTAAGAGGATAAAAGATTTCAGATATTATTTTTTGTGATTCAAAAGGAAAGTGAGAAAAGAATTGGACAAAAGTGTTAGAGAGTTCTTGTTTGTTTTTGAGATGATGTGACTAGTGCCTATTTGAAGGTCAAAGGAAATGGGCTGGTAATTGAGGGGGAGGAGAGTAAAGAATAATATCGCTAAGAAGTTGGGAGGAGATGAAAACGAGGCCATAGAATGGTACAGGATGGCCTTTGAAAGAAGAACTAGACTTTTTTTTGTCTGAGAAGTGATGTTATTGCCTCTTAAGTCATCTCCTTGCCTCTTGTCCTCTCAAATGCTCCATTCCTCAACCAAAATCTGTCAAAGTCTAACCCTGTCCATATTTGATTAAATTATGCTTTGTTGTATTTCCCATTTAGAAAGGTCTAGATGGAAGAATGGGCCTACTATGTTCCCAATAAAGCAAGTAGGCAAGCTTGACTAGAGAATGAATAAGGCTAGCTGTAGAGCCCTGAGAGACATCATTACAAGGACTTTGACTTTTACTCTGAGTGAAATGAGAAGCTACTAATTGATTAAAGGGTGTTCATATATTCTGATTTATGTTTTAAAAGCATCACTTTGACTGCTATGTTGAGACTAGATTGTAGGGTGGCAAGCATAGCCTCGGGGACACCAGGTAGGAGACATTGCAATAATTTAGTTGCTGGTTGATCAAGGTAAGAGCAGCAAAGATAGGTGGTTGCTTTCTGCATATACTTAAGAGGTTAAACCAGTAGGATTGCCTAATGGTTTGGATGTGTGATTAATAAATAAAGAAGAGTCAGAATGATCCCAAGCTTGCAGCCTGAAGAACGAAAAGTTTAGAGTGGCCATTTATTAAATTGTAAAAAACTAAGGGAGGAACAGTTTTTGGGAGCAATGATAGGATTAAGAGTTCATTTTTGGACATGTTATATTTGAGAAGCATATTAGATATGTAAGCAAAGTTGATGAAAAGGTAGTTAAATATACAAGATGAGTTCAGGGGAGAAGTCTGAGCTGGAGAAAGAAATTCAGGAGGCGTTGACCTATATATAAGCTGTAAGACTGATATGATCATCCAGGCTTGGTGTAGAAAAAGGAGAGAGGAGGGATGAGCACTCCAGCATCCAGGGACTGAAGACACAAGGGAAAACTAGCAAAAAACCATGGAGAAATGCAAAGTAAAGTGAGGACAACCAGAAGAGCACGGTACCCAAGAAACCAAGTGGAACAAGCACATCAGGGAGGAGAGACTGACCATGCCAGTACTGTTTGTGAGGTCAGGCAGTACTGAAAGTGGGACTTTGAACTTGCCACTGTGGAGGTCACTGATGATCCCGATGAGTAATTGTGATGGAGTAAAGTTCAGGGAGTGGAAGCCGTATTGGAATGGTTGCAGAGAATAGCAGTGCCTTTGCCCCAGAAATTGAATTTGAGTCTAATCAAAAGCGTTAATATAATTTCTAGTTTATAGAAGACATGACGACTAGAGGAATGAGTGAAAACATGAGAAAGCAGACATACACAGTGCAGGACATTCTGTAGGACAACTGACTAGGTTTTATCAACAAGATAATGGCATGAAAGAAGGGTACCTGGTTGTCTCACCAGTGAGCACAGGTGTGACAAGATATGGTCCTCTCAGGACATTTCTGACAGCACCTGGGTTGGTCAGAGCCCTCTCTGGGTAGTGGTATCTGGTCATAGGCAGTCTCTCCGTTTGCTCCAGTGTACTGTGTAAATGCTATTTATGTATGCCATGTCATGAGAAAGGTTGAGATACTAGTGTAGACGTGACCAATGGGTAGCTAAGGTGTAGCAGAGCGATCATTGGAGGAAAGCAAGCCTAAGAATTGAGAAGCTGCGGTGTTAGAGGGGTTGTTAAGATTTGTACAAGGATACTGTTGGTGACAGTGATAATGAGCTAGGCACTAAAACCATCAAGGAATGAGAAGGAAACCTGGAGGGTCTGTAGATGACAAGCTGGGGTACTATATAGTATGATCAGGTGACATGAAATGTAAAGCTAGGATCTGTTAATGAAAAGGAAGAAATAATTGGTGAGGACACCTCTCCTCTTTAGGTCTGGTGATATTGATCAGTATGGGAGAAAAAATAGTCAACCACTTGAGAGACTGAGAGGACAACTCGGGAAGCAGTGTCTTCAGGGGAGAGCCAGGTTGCAGTTAGATCAAGAGAGGGAAGGAACATTTAGAGAAAAAAATAAAGTCATTTTTGCTTTTGCATGTTCTCTTCTCTGCCTGGATTATTATTTTTTAAACAACTTTATTAAGGTGTAATTTACAGACCATAAAAGTATCCATTTTGAGTATATGCTTTTTAAATTAGATTGGCGGAGTTGTGCAGTGATCTCCCTGGATTATTTTTAATCCTCACCCAGTGGGCAAACATATTCTCATTCTTCAGAACCTTTTAAGTATCTCTTTTCTGAAAAGCCTTTCCTGATCTCCCCAGATAGAGGTTTGTACTGATTCCCTATTGTGTGCATTCTGCTACCATTCATGCCATACTAAACCAGTCTGAAACTGTTCATTTCCCTGGGATACTGTAAGTCCCTCTAAGGCAGAAATTCTCTAACTTACTCTTATTGCCTAGAAATGCCTTACACATAGTAGCCACTCATATTTTTCAAATTAGTTTAAACCAGCATGAGATTATATAGGTGGAAACCTAAGTTGAGCTAAGGAAACTGAAGCAGTCCTAATATCAAAGGAAAATATTATATTAGTTACCCTAAAACTTAGTGGCTTTAAAGTATAAATAGTTATTATTTCACACAATTTTTGTGATCAGGAATTTGGGTGTGGCTTAGCTGGGTGGTTCAGGAGGTTACTGTGCAGCTGTTATCTAGGGATGCATCTGAAGGCTTGACTGAGACTGGAGAATCTGCCTCCAGGATGACTCACTCACATGGCAAGTTGATGCTGGCTTTTGGCAGGAGGCCTTAGTTCTTGCACGTGGTCATCTCCATAGGGTTGCTTGAGTCTCCTTAAGGTTCCATGTGGCCACTGGCACATAGAGCAAGTGGTCCAAGAGAGAGCATGGCAACAGCTGCTATGTCTTTAAAGACCTAGTATTCGAAGTAACAGTCCATCGTATTTTTTACAGCACTTTTTTGATATTTCAGGTCAGCCCTGTTCAGTGTGGGAGGGAATGACCCAAGGGTGTAACTACCAGGAGGTGAGAATCACTGGAGATCAGCCAGCCTAGAGGTTGGCTCTCATAGAAGTTAGTTAATTTTAAAGTGAAGTGATACATGCCAAGTATGTAGCAAGCAGTTAATAAATATTTGAGCAAATAAAGGCAAAAGAAATAGAAATTGTAAGAGTGGGGGTTGAAATAACTTGTGGTTAGAGTACTAAAGAATTATAAGAAGTTACTAAAAGCATTTCTTAGTAGCATTTGAAGTTAGAAGTTAAATGTTTGCCTAACTTTTTATATGACATGGTTTATATACTGTTTTTTTTCTGCTTAGGGTCAGTGAAAACTGTTCTAAGTGATCAACGAAAGCAAATGCTCCAAAAATACAAAGAAGAAAAACAACTTCAAAAATTGAAAGAGCAGAGAGAGAAAGCTAAAAGAGGAGTTTTTAGAATGGGTCTTTATAGACCTGATATGCCTTACTTTCTTTTATCAAATGAGAATACTATGAAAACTGAGCCAAAAAAGGTAAACTTAATATCCTAACCTGATATAGAAGAATAATTCCTTTTAACTGAAATTTTAAAAGATTAAATTATTAAAATAACTATTTCCCATTAGTCCCTTTATTTCACTTAACTAGTTAATAGGAGTTGATAATCACATAATAGTAACTCAGAAGATGAAGATCAGGTCTCTTGATGTAGCTATAGAGAAGTGGAGGTAGGATAAAATAGGTGGATAGACGTCAGGTACCATGACAGGCTAAGAAAGGACTGGTCAGAGTGGCAGGAGAACTAAAATGGATAGACGCTAAAGGTGGGGTGATCTAAAGAGAATGAATGGTCAGTGAGTCAAGAAGGATAAAGTTTGAACATAGGCAGATGTAAATGAGGTGGTCCTTGGTGATTTGCTAATTTAAAGATAAGTATAAAAGTCCTCACTGACTGTATACTCCTGATTTAAATAAGAATTGAGTAATATGAAGGCCCCAGATACTGCCTATGTTTCTAGGTTTCATGAATCTCATTCCTTCATTTGACAGATCTTTGATCATTTACTGTGTGTATAGCCTTAGGGTAATGTGGAAGAAACCAAAATTAATAGAATATAGTACAAGGTGGAAAGATATAAGTATATCCTATATATTAGAGGAGGGAGAGATTATTTATGTTTGAAGGAACATCAAAGAAAACTTTTTGGAAGGTGTTAGATTTAAGCTGGCTTTTGAAGAATATGTAGGATCCCAATAATTGGTCTAAACTATAAACAGCTATTTAAAATAGTTAAAGAAATATATATGTAGGGGGAACAAGAAACACATTATTGTGTTAAATAATAAGATTCACCAAAGTTGTTTTTTATTCTACTTAGACAATAGACATTGCTGAATTTTGTTCCCTTTATACATTCTAGAGAAAAGACTCATTTCTTTAACACTCAGTTTTCACTGAGATTTGGAGAAAAAAATGACTTCTCATCTAGAGGAAAAGTCTGCTTATGCTTAAGAAATTTTATAGAGTTGATAAATATCTTACCACGTTATAATCAGTCTCATGCTAGATTTTTTTCCACACTTTGTGATCAGGTCTCTATTTTCTTACTTATAATGGACAAGTACATAATCAAGAGACTTGTAGGCAAATTATCAAAACTAGGAAAGTATACTTATGGTTGCTTTTCATTAAACAAAGCAAGATCCTGATACTCTAGTCTGTTCATCTACTACTTTCCAAATATATCTAGCTAATTAATCATAGAAATGAGAATTCTAGTACCTGGAAAAATTTCTCTTCTCATTGATAAAAAAGAGTAAGTTTTGAAGTTATTAACTTAAATGTAATTTAAATCAAGCCAGAACCAGAAAAAAATGGAAATTCAAGTTAGCAGGTATCTATTTGCCATAAATGATTAAGGATAAAATTTAACTTTAAATGGAAACTTTATTACATAATGAGACATGGAAATAAACTTTTGCCAGTTCACTTTTTAAAACTTTTATCTTCTCTTGACTGTTTTAAGGCTGTTTCATTTTCTGTACGGATTACAAGGTCAAAGGCCAAAAACCAAATGGAGCGGATTGAGGTATAGTTTATAATTAGTAGATGAGTGTTAGTAGAATGACAAGTTGTGCTTTTTTTCTCAGAGTAAGTAAATCCATTTTTAATCTAATATCAGCTTCAAGTATAGTAATTTATGAGATGTAATAATTCCAAAATTAATATTATTGATATGATGACATAGAAGTGTTTTGACTGGATGCTAAGAAAATGTTCACCTAAGTTATTTGCCCAAGCATATGTTATGATAGCCATACCAAATGTTGTCTTTGTCACATTCTTTTTATTCATTTACTTTCCTTATGCATTTCATGTCACCACAAAGGGCATTTAGGAATATAAAGCACATAGGGTGGGTTTTACAAACTTGTGGGTCTCCAAAACACTGTTATGGATAAAGTTCCTAGGAGGATTACTAAAATAAAGTGAAGTAGGCAAGGATGGAAATAACATCCCTTTTTATTAAGTGAGGAAGATAAACATATATTCAATAAGTTTTGAGTCACTACCAATTTCTAGGATATAGTTGTGAGATAGGCAATAAAAAAATAAGTATACAGTATGTCAGATGGTTGTAAGTATTATGAGGAGGTAAAAGGGAGATGGGGCATTCTGAAGTAGATGTAGGGTGGAATTTTGATAGGGGCAGTCAGGCAGGGCCTCACTGAATGGTGGCATTTTGAGTGAAGTCTTCAAAGAAGTAGAAGAGTGAACTATGGTAAAGAGCTTTCTATCCAGGAGAAGAATTATCTAGACATATTGCAAAGGTTTTGAAATGGAAACATGCCTGGTATGTTTAATGATTCTCAGAAGACTATAGTCACCTCTTTTTAATAAGCTTAAGTTATTAGCATTTCCTAAATCTCAAAATGTTTGTAAAAAAATTCATGTAATGTAAAACTTCTTTCTTCGTCTCATTTTATTTAGGGTAGTGAATTTTTTGCTGGGTCATTTGCAACAGATTTCAGATGCAGGATCAATTTACAGGTTAAAAATGTGATTTGATTCATTATGCAATTAAATCACATAACATGTAATCTTTTCAATAGATTGATAATAGGAATGATATTCGAGCAATCCCACCTGGTCAAAGACAAACTTCTGAAAAGAAAGTGTTGGACCAAGAAAAAAAAGGTAGGAAGGAATATCAGCAGTTGTTATGAGCTCTGATGTTGTCACAACAGTAATTTAATAGTTCCAGAAAGCATTTGATTTTATTATTTTTTCCCATAGCTGGTCAGCCTGTAATACCTACGTCTGTGAGAATGACTCGATCGGCTACTCAAGCAGCAAAGCAAATTGCCAGACCAGTCTCATCCACTACAGGAAGAAAACCAGTCACAAGAGCTACCAATGGTAAGAACTATTTCCTGATCAGTGACTGACCTAGAATATTTTGGTCCTTGAGGTTTTCTGTATTCTGTTTTAAGAATCATGTAGTTCTTTGAGTCACAGGTGCAGAAATGGGAGATTCTAATTCCTGAAGGTAGTTCTATGCACAGCGGGTTCTGTGCACACACCCACTGTGTGGGTGCTCAAACATTTAAGGATCTGAATTGGTGTAAGCCGTGCTTCAAAGTGAAAATTAATGGCCCATATAAATTATGGTCCATCCAGTTGCTGGAATACAATTAACCATTTAAGACCAATGTGAAAGTACACAAAGTAACATCATTCATGATACATTAAGTAGACCAAGGAAAACAGGTCAGACTCTGAACAGCTCATAGCTCTATAATATATACGTGAATATGCGAACAAAGGGAAAAACTGGAAATACATGCCCTGAAGTGTCAACAGTGATTATTACTGAGTAGTGTTATCTTGGGTGAGTTTTTATTGTTCTGTATTTTTCAAAAATTTTTCCTAAGTTTCTATAATATGTATTTGATATAGAGGAAAAACGTAATATGCCTTTACACCCTTGTTTTGTTTCGGAAACTGATGGTCTCTACTTATCAAGAAATTTTATCAATTTTATCCCATTTTATAATATGACTTTTAATCATAAAAACCTTTAAGACATACATTCCTATTCTTGCCTGTTTTTTCCTTTCCCAGATTACCTAGTACTTTTAATGCAGCATTTCCATCTAGTCAAAATGGATATCCTATTTCATTTTTATTTTAGATAATGAAGCAGAAAGAAAGGCACCAAATCAAGGAAGACCTGCCAAAAAGTTAGAAGCAAAGCCTGACAAGGTAGAGCATAAACATCTGTTTATTTCTAGAAACTTTGAAAATCTTACTTGTTACTTTCACAAAGTTGAAATTAAGCATACAAAACTTCAAGAGGTTAACCTACATGGTTAAGACCTTGAAACATAAAGAAGAATCAAGGGGATTGAATGTTTTTCAGGTATCTTATCTTCAGAGCTTTATAGAGAAAATATAATTTGGTTAGTAGGAGACAGAAAAATAGAAAAATAATAAAAACACAGCTAACAGAAATCTTGGGAATTAGCTGAGACAGAGGATGAAGTATGGTGAAATGCACCGTTCTCTTTGAATTCATTTAGGCCTGAGTTTGAATATTGTCTGCTTTCATTAGCTATGTAACTTGGGCAAATTAGAAGTTTGTTTTCTCATCTCTAACAGGTAATACCTCCACAGAGTAGTTTTACGAAAAGAATAAAATAACCTGTCGTTTCTGATAGCATCTAGCATAGTGCCTAGTAAAGTTTTCAAAGAAGAGCCACCATTTTGAGAACCCAGTCCCTCAGCTTATAGTCTGTGTGATAATTGTTAACCTTAAAAAAGTGTTATGCCATAGTGTAAGAAACCTGGCTAGGTTCTTACTAAAAATCAAACATAGATCCTCTAAGGAAGGCAATATAAAGTAAATCTTAACAGACAAGCAGCTGTACCTCATAATTCACCCCTTAAGATTTTTTTCTCCTTAAGGATTATCACTAGTTTTTACTTTCCCTTCTATGCTGGCCTTAGGAACCCTTAAACTCTTGTCCAGGTTGAAATACTCTGGTTTCAGTTGATATCTGATTAAAAATCATAAGTGTAGAAACCTCTAAAAATTATGTTTAAATGGATGGGTGAAATGGGAAGATGGTCAAAAGGTACAAACTTCCAGTTATTTAAGTCCTGGGGATGTAATGTACAGCATAGTGACTGTAGTGATAATACTCAATGGTATATACTGAGAGACTAGATCTTAAAAATTCTCATCACAAAAAAAATGTTTTAAGTGTGGTGGTGAATGTTAACTAGACTTATTGTGGTGATCATTTTGCAACATATGTATTGACTCATGTTGTATACCTATATATAATACAATGTTATATGTCAATTACATCTCAAAAAATCAGATAACAAACTGAAAAAGAAAATATGCTTAACATTTTATATGGTTAATCTTGCTGTGTCATATTGAAAAATAATTTTGCTCATATGATAAGGTTATAAATAATAACACAAGGCTATTTATAAAAAAGGATTTGTCCTTGATAATAGTTATCCAATAAACACTGGACTTCTGATTCTCAAACCACTGTAATTACCAACATAATTTAAGTAAAAAGATGTGTATTTTTTAGGTGAGTAAATTTTTCCACCTTAGTTTTCGTGTTTTAATTGACTATAATACTTAAAACTTACTTTTTAGTCCTGTAATAAGGATTGATTTTCTTTCTGGATCATAGCATTAGTTTAGTGTAGCTGATCTCATGATTTCATGTATACATTTAATTGTATTTGTTTTTGTCTCTTAAGTTATGTCTGTGGAACATAAGTCTCAACTTTCACATTTTCAGGCCTGTAAAAATTGGTCAAATATATCCCCAGATGAGCAATTCTCACTCTATTCTGTTTACCCACATCTAGGTCATTTCATTTAAAGTTGATAGTGAAGAAAATACTTTACATTCTCAAACCAGTACAATAAATGGAATGGATCCAAATGGAGTCTTATCAAAAATGGAAAACTTACCTAAGACAAATACCGCAAAAATGAAAGGAAAGAATTCCTTTGCTCCTAAAGATTTTATGTTTCAGCCAGTGGATGGTCTGGAAACCTATCAAGTAACACCTATGACTCCCAGAAGTGCTGATGCTTTCTTGACACCCAGTTATACCTGGACCCCTTTAAAAACAGAAGTGTAAGAATATAACATCAATAATGAATTCCTTGCTAAGACGAATAACAAATACCTTTCTTAGATTTGGTCTGTACTCTTTAAAAGTTATTATTTAGTTAGTAAACTACATTAATGATAAATCATGAAAATTTGGATCTTTTAAAACAATTTTTCAGAAGGCTGCAATAATGAATTTGACAGTTTTGTTATTTCCTATGCATTGTTATTATCATTAGTTTCACAATACAATTTGTGGTTTTTTGCTTTTAGTAAATGACCATATTATAACGCTTAGAAACAAATTTTTAGAAAGAAATTGCTATAAGACTAAGCTCAAATATAGTTTGGGATTTTTTTGTTTTTTTTGTTTATGTTTTTTTGCTGAGTATTACTTTAAAAAAACTACCTCTAAAGGCAAAAGTGAGTAACTTGCAAAGTGGGGGTAGGGAATGGAAGTCATTTGGACTCTAAAAGAAAAGGCAAGATAGTTTTGCAATGACTGGTGGACAGTAAGTTTACTAGAAACTGCTCAGCAGCGTCCAAGGCTTACTGAGCGCTAATGGCCCATGAAGAACTCTTCAGAATTTCTGGATCTCAGTTCACTTAGTAAAGATGGAAAATTCCCACCATACTGGTGTTTAAAAACCTTCCCCTCCAGAATAGATACATTTTTTTAAATGTATTTCTTAAGAAATAAATATTTTATCCCAGGTTTGCAAAAAGTGACATAATTTTGAGGTCTGGCAATTTGCTACATGGGTTTCATGCTTTATGAAGTCTATTTTTGCTATTGTTTTTAGTGATAAAACTCAAGAAGCAATAAAAGACATTGTGGCACAAAAATGTAAAGCTTACTCTACCAAGACAGTACATCAAGATTCAGATAAACTGCAGTGTCCTTTGGGTTCTCTAACAATTTGGGATAAAGGTATGGTACTTTCAATTTTTACTTGCTTTTCTGGATTCTGATTTATCAGAGATTTATTTAGAGCCCTTTTCACCATATAACTAAGGGATGTGACCTCATGATCAGAAGAGATGAGAAGTCATGGGGAAAGACATTTGAAAAGAGATGGAAGGAGGAATACAGACTGAGAAAGGGTCAGGGGGGATAAATGTCAATTTGAAGAGATGAAGAATGTTAAGAGATACTTTAGAGGAAGTGAATAAAATATTGAAGCAGAAATTTTAAAATTCAACATTGAAAAAAATTGAAGAATTAAAAATTTTTTCTTTTTATGGGGTATGTCATTTTAGGAAGCACTGCTTTGAAATGTATAATCTTTTTTTAACCTATAGAACATGTCTTAAGTAAAAATGAAACTACTAATGAAAATTCAAATGACCTTCCAAAAAAAGAAGTCCTATCACTTGGAATCAATAAAGATCAGCTATCTCAGCCACAACATGATGTGCCATATTTCAGGTGTGTCCTTTTTTGTTCTGAGTGTAAGAATTTTGTATTAATGTCTACACATTTAAAATGGAAATTAATCTATTTCTAACCTTAATATGTAATAGATGTATTAGACTTTGGGATGATTTTCATTTACATTTTGAATTTGAATTATTTTTTTCAGTAGCTAGTGCATTCATCCTAATTCAAAAGGTAGACAAATGTGCAAGTGAGAAGTCATTTTCCCAACTCTGTCTCCCAAACCCATAGTTTACACCATCCTTGGAGGCAAGTGTACTTATTTCTTGTGAATATTTTCAGGTAGATAATGTATGTATAGACAAACATAAACATATGTGTTTTTTATTTATAATAACAATAGCATACCATTCTGTCTTCATTTAAAGTTCAATATTGGAGACATTCCATTATAGTACTTAGAATTTTCCATGTTGTGTGTGTGTGTTTAAAGGGCCAGATAGTATCCAGTTATGGATGTACCACAATTTACTTAATAGGTCCTCGTTGCTAGTTATTTACATTGAATTCAGTCTATTACTAATAAAGCAGGGCTGCAGAGAACAACCCTGTATGCTTTTCAGTTCTCTCATGTGCAAATATATGATGACCTCAATCTATCCAGCAAAGTATGGGAGTTCCTATTTTCCCATACTTTTTTTTCCACTCCCACAAAGAAACCAAATTAATACTGTTTTATAAAAGGGTAGTGGAAGATGTTAAGGGGTTCTTTGGCCCACTAAATCATGAAATAGGATTAAGTTTCATGGAAAGTGAAAATTAACATCTTGTTTGAGAAACTTTAAATATGTCACCTAAAAGCCTTGGAAACAAATCAGAGGACTTCATTTGGAGAAATGCTCCAACATTCCACAATACACAGAAAATGATTGCATACTGTTATTCTAGCATGAATGTAGTGAGAAAATTGTCACACCTTTTCCAGTGCAATATTAACAATTTTTTTGAGCTTTGCCTATCAAAGATGAGAAATATTATCTCACTGTAGTTTTAATATTCATTTCTTCTATTATGGATGAGTATCTTTTTACATGTTTGAGAGCCACTTCAATTATTTTTAAGGGCATAAGATTTTAGAGATTAGCTAATCGTTTGTGTTGTTTAGTTGAGATATTGAGATAATGAGCAATTTATCCAAGTGAATAATGTCAAATCTAAGCTAGGTGTCCTTTCTTGTTAATGAAGTTGTTTCTGTTATGCTATTTAATATAAACAGCTCAATTTTTCTTTTAAGAAACTAAACCCTCTTTCTTCAGTTTCTTCTGCCGGGATGTCTTTTATAAAGACAGATTAAATTTACCCTAAGTCATGGTTGTTTAACCTTGGCAATATTGACATTTGGGGATGGAAAATTCTTATTGTGGGGGCCATATGCCACACTGTAGGGCGTTTGGCAGTATCCCTCTTTCAGTTCATGACAGTCAAAAATGCCCCCAGACATTGCTAAATGTGCCCAAGGGACAGAACTGACCCTTGTTGAGAACCATTGCCCTTGCTCAGTCTCTAATAACTATAGAGAATCTGTAAGACCCTATCACTGTGATGATTCTAGACTTAACAGTTTTTAGTTTCAGCCTACTCTTGGCAGTTGGTCCATGGACAGTTAACAGAGAACTAGTAACAGAACTAAGGAATGTCCGATTCTCTTCAGTGTGAGAAATAAGAACAGAACAAAATGGAAATATTAGCATAAAAAGTGGGTTCTTGGCATTAATAACCAGCATAAGTTTTAAGTGTAAAGAAAGGTTGGGCATATATAGGTTACTAACGTATTTATGGATTTTATTATATCACAGTTCATAAAATAACTAAGCATCAACTCTGGGAAATTAACATGTGCCTCCCTTTACCTTCCTAATATTATATGTAAGTACCATACTAAGCTAATATTACTCTGAGAAACATTTGTAAAACTGCAATGTATGTCATAATTTTAGAAATATACTCCAGTCAGAAACTGAGAAATTAACTTCACACTGCCTTGAGTGGGACAGGAAGCTTGAATTGGACATTCCAGATGATGGTGAGACAACATTTATGTTTATGTCTTAACTTTGTATCTTTTAATATGGTTACGTTTATCTGAAACATAAAAATCTAGTGTTGTCCATCTTTATAATTTCATTGTTATTCAAAATAGCAAGGATTTTTCATATCAACATACATTCACTAATAGCTGCTAAAATGGTATATGACTTAAGAGATATAATTAGAATATCGACTATCATACCTGAGAAATAGACATTTGCCTATTTTATTATTAGGCATTTTTCGTACAACTTTGAGTGACATCTATAACTGCTATTGTTTAATTATGTAAAAATAATTTCAGAATAAAAATTATCTTATAAGTATGGAACAGATTTTCTGAGAAGTTCCATAATCTTATTTGGGGAAGCTATTTAGAAAAAATCATTTATGTGCTATGTTAGTTTGAAGTGCTTAGATACTAATGTGCAGTGAGTAATTTGAGGTTGAATTCCTAAGAAATACAAGAACTAGCAATATGTACGAGACTGAATATTGCTAATTTTTTTTGCAAGAATCGAAGCAGATAGTTAACTCTCAGTACTTATATAACAGTTTTGTAGTGATATTTTTGTTTGCATTAAGATAAGAATTTGATTCTGTAAGTTCTCAGATATTTGGGGTGAGGTCTTTGTAACAGCTGGTTGGCTTTCAACAAAGGTCATGTTTTGTTCTTTAATTTTTAAAAATCTCTTTTTCCTTTAGCTAAAGATCTTATTCGCACAGCAGTTGGTCAAACAAGACTCCTTATGAAAGAGAGGTTCAAACAGTTTGTAGGACTGGTGGACAATTGTGAATATAAACGAGGTGAAAAGGAGACTACATGTACAGATCTGGATGGATTTTGGGATATGATTAGTTTTCAGGTATGTGGTCAAGTATTTTGAATATATTAGCTTTTGAGTCTATTTTTTTGAAAAAGAGCTAACAGTAGTAAAATGGGGGTAATAGTGGCTGCTTAGATACCTGTAATATTAAACAAGATATTAGACAGTACCTTAATAAACTGTAAAGCTTTATGATTTTTTTAAATTGATGTCTCCTACCCCATATTGTCGAGATAATCTCTATATGTGTTGGAAATTGAGATTATATTTAAATGCTGAGTAGTCTATAATGATTCTACATGTGAGAAAATGAGTAAATGTGGTCTTCAGTAGTTCAGTTCGTCTAGCAGTTATTGAGTTCCTACTGTGTGCCAGGCATTGTACTAAGAGTTGATAAATAAGGCATATTCTCTTTCCCAGAGGAGTTTGTAGTGAGTCACCTACAGCATATAATTCCAATCTAATGTACAAAGTGCTATGATAGAGGGAATCATTAGGAAGATTCAGGATATGTATGTGAGGATGTAATACCTTCTAACTATTTGAGCTTATTTTAGAGATAAAAATAAAGGTACAAAATACTATTTTAGGACCCATTATTAGCCAGTGATCATTAGACAATTGAGGAACCGAACCTCAAACCTGAAAAGAAAAGGCCAAAGCAAAAAAGGGAAGAAAGCTATTGAATGGAGGAAGTGGGGATAATAGGAGAAAAGAACTTTTAACTGCAATATTCTGAAAGAAACCAAACATTTCATCTGCCAAATAAGAACAGCTATTAAAAAAAACAGAGAACCATAAAAATTCCTCATTGAAGTTAAAAACTGAGACCAGTAATGTAAGATTCAGCAGAAAGATGAAATATGAAGCTAAGCTCTCCCATAAAATAGAGCAAAGAGAAAGATGTCAAATAAGAGAGACTAGATAAGAAAATTAAGTGGACCAGCCTAGGAAGTATAATATCCAAGTACTAGGAATTCCAGAAAAAGAGAACAGAAAAAATAAGAGCAAATAATTAATGAAACAGTTTAAAATTTTCACCCCAGAACTGGAGGACCTGAATTCCAGACTAAAGGAGCCCACTGAGAACATTTTCATCACCATGTCCTTCCTGCTTATTTGCAAGTCAATCCCCATTCCTACTTCCAGTCCCAAGCAACCTCTAATCTACTTGCTATCTTTGTAGATTTACATTTTCTGGATATTTCATACTAAATAGAATTATACAGTATGTGGTCTTTTGTATGTGATTTCTTTTATTTAGCATGATGTTTTTGAGGTTCCTCCATGTTGTAGCTTTATCATGTGCCTTGTTCCTTTTCATTGCTGAGTAGTGAATTTCATTCCATTGTGTGAATATATCACGCCGTTCACCATTTAATGGACTTTAAGGTTGTTTCCATTCTGTGGTGATTATGAATAATCTGAGTATTCACAAGTCTTAGTGTGGGCATTTGTTTTAATTTCTCTTGGGGCAGATAATCTAGATATTGCTAGTTCATACAGTAAATCTATGTTCAGCTTTTTAAGAAACTGCCAAACTATTTTCCAGAGTGATTGCACCATTTTACATTCCCACCAACAATGTTTGAGTCTTCCTATTTCCACATCTTCACCAGTATACTTGCTGTCTAGGATAGTCATCCTAGTGGATGTGGAACATTTCATTGTAGTTTTGATTTGTGTTTCTCTAATGAGTACTGATGTTCAGTATTTTTTCTTGTGATTTTTAGTGATTTATATGTCTCTGGTAAAATATTCAGATCATTTACCCATTTTTAAATTGGGTTGATCTTTATATATTCTTTATATATTCTGGATAGTCCTTTATCAGAAATGTTCTCAAATTTTTCTTCCAGTGTGTGGCTTCTCTTATAATTTTCTTAGTGGTGTCTTTTGAAGTGCAAATATTTTTAATTTTAAAGTTAATATTATCAAATTTTTTATGTTGTGATTTTGGCATCATGTCTAAGACCCGTTTTTGCCTAATGTCATCATAAAGATTTTCTCTTAGGTTTTCTTCTAAAAGATTTATAGTTTTAGTTCTTACTCATAGTTTAAGTGTATGATCATTTGGGATTTGTTTTTGTGTATGATACAGGTAAGAGTAAATTCATCTTGTGGACATGCCAATTTTCCCAGCACTGTTTATTAAAAGAGACTATCCTTTCCTCATTGAATTGCACTGCACATTTGTTGAAAATTAGTTGGTCTTAAGTGTAATCCTGAGTCTTTCTGACATTTACTTAGGAGAGAGATTGAGAGTATGTATATAAATGCATAATAAGGGGACTCAACGCATATTTACCAAACTGTTGACCGTAGTGACCTCTCTAGAGGGGACCGGAAATACCAGAAGGATGGGAATCATACATTCATATTCTGATAGTAGGCATATTATTTGAATCTTTTAAAATGAGATTGTGTCAAGAAAATGAGAAGCCAAGCCACAGATTGGGAGAAAGTATTTGTGAATAACATATTTGATAAAGGACTGTTCTCCAGAATATATAAAGAACTCTTAAAACTCAAAAATAAGAAAACAAACAACCTGATTAAAAAATGGGCAAAATATCTGAACAGAAACCTTGCCAAAGAAAATATACAGATGACAGGTAAGCATATGAAAAAATAAGATGCTTAATATCACAGGGAATTGCCAATGAAAACAGGATACTACTACATACCTATGAGAATGGCGACAACCCAAACCACTGATAATACCAAATGCTGATGAGGATGTGGATCAACAGGAACAGTCGTTCACTGATGATGGAAAAGTACAAATGGTACAGCCACTCTAGAAGACAGTTTGGCAGTTTCTTACAAAATTAAATATAATCTTAAATTTTGATCCAGCATGCTTCTTGGTATTTACCCAAGTGATTTGGAAACATATGTCCACATAAAATGTACACAGGTGTTTATAGCAGCTTTATTCATAAGTGCCAAAACCTGGAAGCATCCAATCTGTTCTTCAGTAGAGGAATGAATAAATAAACTGTTTGTAAAAAAAAAAAAAGACTGTTCACATTATATAATTTAGGATGTCCCTCTCCTACCATTTTAGTGATCAAAAATAATTTAGGAGAGTTATTCATATATGATATCCTTTATGGAGATTTTGGAAGTTTGTAAGACCAAAACTAAATTGAGCAATTTTGCCCTAAGAATTCTTGATTTGGCTTACTATGCTGATAGACAGTGACTGCAATGGGGTGGGGGGTGAGGACTTGATAATATGGGTGAATGTTGAAACCACAATGTTGTTCATGTGAAACCCTCATAAGACTGTATATCAATGATACTATAAAAAAAATTCTTGATTTGAATACTAAATGGAGAATGACTTAGTCTAATTTTATATTCACCAGTATGAGTCACCATTTTAATTTTTTGAAGCTTTGGTTAGTTTGCGATTTTAATATGATTAATCTGAAAAACTTGTGCTTTATTTATTAACAGGTAGAAGATGTAAACCAAAAATTCAACAATCTGACCAAACTTGAGGAATCTGGATGGCAAAACCATAATAATACAAACAAAAAAGTCTTTCGGGTAAGTCTGTGGGTTTTATATCCAAATTTCTAATACAGATCCTTCTACTTTAATGGATTTTTATATTTAAGACTTAAAGTATAGCTTTTCTCTTTTCATCATTTTACAAAAGAAAGTTCCATATAATATTTACAATGTCCCAATTGCCTTTGAAGAAAAAATAAAGAAATAATCAACATTAAGTCCAGTGTTGTTATGTTTGGAGGGAGGAAGGTAGGGGCTGTGACTGATTTGTAGTACCCAGCGGGCTTCTAAGTTACTAAATAGTGGGTATGTGCATGTTTGTTTTATTCTTTAAACTGCACCTATACATTTTGTTATAATAATAATAGTATTACAGATAGAGATACTTTATGTAACACTTAGTATGTACCAAATATTGTTCCAAGTGCTTTACATGTATGAACTCATTTAATCTTCACAACAGTCTAGTGCACGTACTGTCCTCACTTTGCAGTTGAGGAATCTCATGCCCAGAAAGATTAAATCACTTGCCCAAGGTGGAGCTGGGTTTCAGGCCAGAGTTTCTCATTGCAGAATCTGTATTCTTAACCAGTAGGCTTCACCTCCCAGTTTTATATACTCTTTTGTGATCTATTTTGAAATAAAAGAATTTTCTAAATAAATTGAAAAGAGGATCAATGTCTCCTTAGAACATCTGTCTTCTTCCCTGTATTTTATCTTGTAAATTTTCCAGTTTTGTCTGTAAATGTGGTTTGTTAACATGATAGAAAGATTCCATTCTTACCTATTTAGAGTAATTTTTTTTCCTAGTAATGTTTTGAACTCAGTTTCTGGTCAGATGGTACTTTTCAAACCATCTTAGAGCATTGCCAGAATTATTTTACTAATGAAGTCTCATGACAAAGACCCTAGGATAGTGACTAAATTAATTGTATGAATTTCAGATCTACTAAACAGTGAAGAATGTTTAAACATTCTGCAGCACTGTGGGTAGTTTTTATTGAGTACTCCGTCCTGGAAACAACATCGTCAGTGATGCAGACAATGACTCCTATCAGTATAGCATTGTATTAGAGCCCTGTAATTCTGGTTGTTATCACCAGGTGTCTCTCTCTTCTTACTTTATTTTACAGCCTACTCTTAGAGATTATCAAACAAAATAGAACTCGTCTTTTGCCTGTATTTTGATGCCATTCCCTCCTAATTCTTGTTCATTGGTCTCTCATTCCATCAGTTAGCCTTGTTTTCTCATTTCCTCTCTCTTTTCCATCAATTTTTAAACATGTCCAGGGCTTTATCTTTGTTCACATTAAAGAAAAAAAGCTAAATCTGTGATTGCCACATTGCCTTCCAGTTTTTCTCCCTGTTCCCACCTGCCAATCACAGTCAAGCTTCCCGAGAAGGTTGCCTATACTTTGTCTTCACTATTTCAGTTCTCACTTAACTCCCCAACTCACTGCAATTCAATTTCACTCCCTTTGTGCCTCTAGAACATTTATCACCAAGGTTATTGACCCGCTAGGTACTGAAGTTATTACCCTTTGTTATAAAATCTAATCCCTCTGCAGTATTAAATACTATCTACACCCTCTTTCTTGAAATTGTTGTACTGATTTTCCTCCTACCTCTGTTCCCATTCTTCAGTCATACTGACAAGTTTCTGTTTTTCCATTTATCTCTTAAATATTTGTCATACTTAAATTCCTACCTCAGCTCTTTTCTCTCCTTCCCTATACTTCCTGTGCAATCTTAACCACCCAGTGATTCCCAAGTCTGTATTTCAAACCACAATTAAACTGCTAACCTCTAGTTCTGTACATCCTGACTCAGTATACCTTAAAATCAATCCCAAACTAAAATCATCTCCACACACATTGATGTTTCCCTGTCTCAGAGAACGGTATTGTCATCCCACCAGGTGTCCACAATAGAAAACCTGTTCTGTCTTTTCTGTTTCACTATCTCCACCCACACATATCCAAAAGATCACCTGAGTCCTCTAAATTCTACCTTTTAAATATCTTTTGAATCTGAAAGCTTTTTTCCATTTTTTTCTACTTGACCTAACTACTATCATCTTTTCCCAGTATCACTGCAGTAGTTGCCTTTCTAACTGGCTTGTAACCCTCCAATCCATTTTCCAGGCTATAGCCAGAGTGACCTTTCCAAAACACAAATTGATAATGTTAAATGTCCTGGTTTAAAAAAATCATCAGTAAGGTCTATTGCTTTACCCTCTGTATAAATGTGGCTCCTTAAAATGGTTACATGCAAGGGATTTTATAATGTAGCTGTTGTTCACCTCTCTCCAACTCCTCCATGTTTTCATTCATTTTTGGCTTTGCAAGTATCCTGTTCACTCTGTTGAGCCCTTTGCTCACCCTACCTTTTAGCCTAACTGATTTCAGCGTAAGTGGCACTTCCTGTAGGCTTTTCGTAATGCCCATAAAGATGGATTGAAGTGTTCTGTGTTCTCTTACAGCCCTCTGAATTTATCTCTGAGATTCTTCTTAGTGCCTTTATCTAGCTCTTCCATTGAGCTGTGCACTCCTTGAGGGCAGGAACTTTGTCTTTTACTGTTTGACCACCAGCATTTTTAACACGTACTAGGAACTTGATAAGTATATGATGAATGTGTTAAATATTTTATGTAGGCTTTCTTTCTCTTGTAAGATGGTAATGAGTGACTTTAATAAATGTCATAATTTCTCTTTGCAGAAAAAAGTTGTCTCAGGTATAGCAAGTAAACCCAAACAGGACGATGATGGAAGGATTGCAGCTAGAAATCGTCTAGCTGCCATAAAAAGCGCAATGAGAGAAAGAATTAAGCAGGGAGAACATGCCGAGGCAGCAGCCTCTGTAATGCCAAAGGAAGTTGATAAAATAGTGTTTGATGCTGGATTTTTCAGGGTTGAAAGTCCTGTTAAATCATTCTCAGGTTAGTTTCTCTGCTACAGCTACTTAAGAGAAATAATTGGGTTGTATGGGAGCATGTAGGAGAAATGGAAAATAGTGTTCACATGAAAGGGTATATGTTCTCTGTGATTTCTGAAAAATAGAGCTAAGTGCTCACAAACACATTCAGATCACATTGTTTGGATGATTAAATTACCTACCGTTACATTATCTTCTAAGATTGCTTTTATATTTTCTAAGTGATTTCGCTCTTTGTTATTACCACTTAACCCCATAGCCCTGTGATGTAGGTCCCAAGATATCCCAAAAGGTAAGGGAACATGAGAAGTTAGGTGATTTTCTTCAGGTTAGTTAGAAGTTAGTTTCGAATATAAGGTGCAAAGCAAACAGACATCAAACTACCACACATCTCTGGCTATGTTTTAAAATGAAGCTTATGGAAGTGGGGGGAGTTGGCTTAATTTTCATTTGTATAAAAATTTTTGCTCAGATCTTTTTGAAGCACAGGAAATTAACTAATTGCCTAATTTTAAAATATTATAGTAAAACCAGCTTTTAATACTTCAGGCAACCATTGTTTTTTTTTTTTAATTTGTATGAAGTTAGTTGATATATAATATTACATTGGTTTCAGATGTACAACATAGTGATTCGATAATTATATACAGTACTAAATGCTCATTATGGTAAGTGGAGTTACCCTGATACCATACCAAGATATTACCATATTATTAAGGAAATCATCCTTATGACTTTCTAGCTCTGGTTGTATTTTTCCTTAGCTATTTTTCATAGACCATCATTAATAGATTGAAGTTTCATTAGATTGCAATTATTTATAAGCCTATAATGAGAGGCCATAGTTGAGGTACTCTGTTTCTTAAATCTTGGCAGATGCTTCTGTCAGTGCTTTAAGTGCTAGATGATTATTTTTTAAGGAGAAAGGGGGCTGAGTCCTCTTCAAGTACTAATCAGCTGAAGGGATGTTTTTTCCTTATTATTTAACTGTGTCTGCTAGGAAGTTTTCTGAAAATAAATGAGCTGCTATCTAATATTTACATTAAAATTTAAATTTATCACTTTAAGTTTATCATGACCTCCCTGTCAATTTAGGTATCACTCCTGCTGTAGTTTGGGTTTATTTCCTTTGCTCCAGGCAGTTGTACTGCCTGGATACCCAGGAATTGCCTCACTGCTAGTAATGTGGCTCCTTGCTACTTACTTTGCAAGGGTCCTAGTGGTTTGCATGACTATGAGCTTATCACTGTCTATTCTTTCACGTACCAAACTTGGCATTTATGCCTAGGGAGATTAAGGCTTATGGCCAAAATTGATGTCCTAAAAATCAAGTTCTAGAGCCCATAGTTTATATGGGGATTGCTATAAAACAGAAATCCCCCACGAAGCCCCCCTCATCCCATTGTCATTCCCTAGAGGTAACCTCTTTAAATTCTTAAAGGAGTCTTGGGGTCTTAAGTTGATTACAACCCTCTCTCTAAACAAGGTGTAGATATTTTCTAAAAGCTCACTTAATCCCTTTTTTTCCATCTCTTAGCCTTACCTGATTATCTCCCAAACCAGAGAACCCTCTGTTACACCTTTTTCAATAAATAAGCTTCTAGTTTTCTGAATTTGGTGATGGGGAGGGGGATATTGACAGTTGCCTGGCTGTGCAGAATAAGGGAGTCTGGGCTCTAATTATTGTTTAAACTGACTTGGAACCAATGTTCCTGTTTTTGTCTCTATTGTCGTCTGTGCTTCCAGGGATACTTGAGGCTACCAGTTCTTTCAGGGGTGCTGTGGTATAAATTGGGTTGATTCTCATCTTTTCTGACTTGTGGATTAGGATTTGTTTTCTTGGATCTACTAAGTAATATTCCGCCTCACACATCTACATTACAGCTTCCAAAATTTTCTAGTTTTATTTGTCACTTCTTTAGGTCCCGTTGTCTTTGAAAATTATATTTCAACCACTGAATTAAAGAAAAGGATGCGTTGTCCTCATGGCATTCTGCCTTTAAAGAGTATCTCCTTTACTGCTAATGGTAGTAGGATGTCAAGAGGAAGCAGAGTCTAATGTATGTGTTCAATACTATCTTTAACTGAAAATCCTGGGCATTCTACTTTAACAAACATCATTTTACTGGAGAAAGACAAGTTGGTGTGGGAATAGAAAGAACTTGCTCTGTCTTCCTAGTTATAATGAAAAGTAAATGAAAGAACTTTTTAGTACTGAGATGATTTCTTTCACCTTCTAGGACTCTCTGTCTCTTCTGAACATCTTTCTCAAACATTTAGAACACCTAAGTCTGTCAGCAAAGCTGTGTCTGAGAGCAGGGCTGAGATGGGCCCTTTAAGACAAACTGTGTCACCACAGAATCCTGATCCTCAGGGTACTGAAAGTGAACAGGTTGATAAGAAGACTTTGCTTTCAAATATTCCTGGAAGGAGGTATTTCTTTCATATGTTATTATTAAAAGTTTAACAGATGCTAACATTAAATACCATTTCAGCTTGTTAACCTGATAAAATATGCAAGAGATATATCTTAATTAAATTTCACAATAACCCTGTAACATATATATGTACATGTTTACAAAATTCTTCTATTTTATAAAAGAGGAAAATAGTGCTTAAGATTTCATAATGGTAAATGGTCATATGCAGGTGGGCAAAGGAAATTAATTCTGCAAAACTAAGAAGAAAGAAGCAACACAGTGTCCTTTGGTGCTAAACAGACTGCAGCTTTGGTCCTTGACAGGTCTGAGCCCAAAACCCTCTGTATGACATACTAGCCAGGAAACTTTGGGACAAGCTTAATTAATTCACTGAGCTTCCATTTCATCATCTGCAAAACAGCAGTGCAAATGCCACCCTCCTCACAGGGTCATTGAGAGGTGGCACTTTTGTGCTGGCCTTGATGGAAAGAAAGTACATTGAGACTGCTGCCTGGGCAGATGACAGAATAGAAATGGGGGAGCTAATTTGCGCTGAATAATTATTATGGGCCAGCAACAGTTCTAGGTTCTTAATATGTATTATCTCGTTTAATCCTCAGAACAACCCTGTGAGGTACTAGGCCCCCATTTTTCAGGTGGGAAAACTTGAAAAGTTTGTTAACTTACCCAAATTCAGTTTATAATTGGTGAAACTAGATGCTGCCTGCATTGCCTCTGCTACACAGTACTGCCTCTGCACAAATGCACCAAAATTACCCTGGTAGTCCTTGCACATGGGACATAAATGTACAGACATCTGATAGGAGAAAAGATACTTTAAAGTAAGTAAGACAGAAGATTACAGTCCGGAGCCAAGAGAAGACTACTGGATTTATTGTTATTCTGCAGATGGGTCAGCACTGAATGTTCAGCCATTGCAACAAATGAAGGCTGTCAAAAAGAAAGAAAGAAAGAACACCCTATGAAATGAAATAGGGGAAACAAATGAAAGTTTTTGTTCTTAAATATTTCATGAAACAACTTTTAGATTTTCTAAGTTTTAGTATAAGCCAAAGTGTATTTAGCATTTGTGGGGACTAAAATGTTTAAGAAGTTTTAGAAATATGTGGATTATAAAATACCAATATATTGTCATTTTTTAAATGCAAGTTACTTTGTATATCATGCAGTTTATTTATAATCTCATGCTAAGAAGATCCATAATTGTATTTAAGTGATATCACAAGAATTCTTTAAAATTTTTTTACTTAATTCCCAATAACAGTCCTGAAAGAAAATCTTATAAACAACTTTGTGCAATGAAGGCAAAATGAAGCTGAAAACTAGGAAAATAGGATTTTTTTTTAATGACTTGCAAGACATTGAGACATATTTTAAATAAAATATAAGTTAAGAACTTCAAGATTAGAATTTATGCTGTAACTAACATGTAAATAATTGAGTTGTTGCTTAACCCACCAGAAGTCAGCTTTATCCTAATCTTTCCATAGTATGTATCTTTGATTTGGCTGAGGTTCAAAAGATTACTAGCAGACTGACAGCATGGTACCAGGCTTCTGAGCTTTGTGGGAAGAATGCATTTAGTTTGTAAGGCCCTTCTTCAGTAACTATAGTCCAAAACTAATCTATTTAAATCAGGTCTGACCTTGGGCTAGGCTCCATCTTTGATGCATAAAGGATAGATTCAAAAAGTAACAACATGTTTAATTATCTGACTACATTGCTACTTTTTTTTTTTTCAGGAACACCATAGTAGAAGATGCTCAGTGTTCTTTATCACAAGATGTAATCAAAGTAAATCATGTAAGTCCTATTCCAGTGTAGTATATAGCCCAATGTATTATCTGTTTATGACGTTATATACAGTAACTCCATAAACCACCTCCAGAATTTCCACTGGAAATTTCAGTCAGTCACATAAAATGATAATTCCTATTTCAAAGGCCTTTGGCTTGCTTGAGACCAATATGCCATTTTGTATTCTTCAACTCACATCAAGATTATTTTTTAAAATAAAGTATTATTGTAATACAGCCACACTCATTTATTTATATATTATATCTGGCTGCTTTTGCAATAAACAGTAGATTAGTTGAGTACTTGTGGCAGAGACTTTATGACTCACCACGCCTAAAATATTTGTATTTACTGTGTAGCTCACAAACCTAAAATATTTACTCTCTGGCCCTTCGTAAAGAATGTTCGCCAGTCTCTGAACTGGAGTATAGATACTTGCTGAGAAACTACTTCAATCATACTATTGCTACAATATTATCTGAATGATTGTTCAAGAAGCAAGAGAGTAAAATTTACAGTGTTCTTTAGCCTGTGTTCAGATGTCATCTTTCAGTTTTTCTTGTTTTTAATAGCAATAAGACTTCAATTTGTTTCAATTTTGGGTAATTAAATGTAATAAACATTTTTACTTCTAGAATGCATGTAAGATAAACTTTGAGATTGGTTGTTTACCCAGTAAAATGAGTTTGCATCTACTTGCTGCTGAAGTGGCAGAGGATATTACTGCTAACAAAAAGGAAGAAATTTCAGATGTTGTGGAAGGAATGGAATTAAATTCTTCATTTACAGCACAGGATATTCTGATGAAAAGTCCTGAAAAAAATATACCATCACAAAATATCTCACAGGAAGAAGAAACTATAATTTCTCAGTCAGGTGAGATCTTTTTAATACTTTAAAATGAGGCTTTGTTAAATAAATGAACTTGGACTAATTATAGATTATCAGAAATAATTCTGGGTACCAGTGTCTAAGAATGAAGGTTTAAAAAATGGACACTCACAGTAAATTGTGAGAATTCATTTGTGTCCTAATACTCTACTCTACACCCTAAACCTTTTGAATCAGACCTATTAAAAATCACCAACAGATATTAATCCATGTTGGATATAAGTAGCATTTTAAGTTAGACCTAATTATTTGGATCCTTCATTGTCTATGAAGACTCAGAATTAGAAAAATTCCCGGAAATTTCTTTAGTTCTCCTCCTCTTTAACATATCCTCATACCTTTCTTCAAAATGCCCTATTTTTCTTTCCTATTCCTACTTACTTTTCTGCAATAGGAAATGGTCCTTGTATTTCCGTTATAACAAGTGATAATTTCAACTACTATTTTCATCTGCTACCCTATGGTGCTGTTGTAACTGGGTCCTAGGGCAAAATAAACGTTATAGCCTTGGCCAGACATTCCAGCAATGTTCTTCATCTATCATTTTTTGGGTACCTTCTCTTTTTAAAAAAAAAAGTAGCAGATGCTGGTTTTATTATAAAAGGATGTAACTCAGAATGGCCAGATGAAAGAGACGCATAAGGCAAAGTATCGGGAAAGGGTGCAGAGCTTCCTTGTTCTCTGCAAATCTCTACACATTTACTCACCCAGAAGCTCAATGGGTTCCTTTAATATCATGAGCATGAGATTTGTTTGTAGAAGACTCTTTTTTTTTTTTTAAGGTATCATTAATACAAAGTTACATGAGCAACACTGTGGTAACTAGATTTCCCCCCATTATCAAGTCCCCACCACATACCCCATTACAGTCACTGTCCATCAGCGTAGTAAGATGCTATAGAATCACTACTTGTCTTCTCTGTGCTATACTGCCTTCCCTGTGCCCACCACCACCACATTATGTGTGCTAATCATAATACCCCTTAGTCCCCTTCTCCCTCCCTTCCCACCCATCGTCCCCAGTCCCTTTCCCTTTGGTAACTGTTAGTCCATTCTTGGGTTCTATGAGTCTGCTGCTGTTTTGTTCCTTCAGTTCTGACTTTGTTCTTATACTCCACATATGAGTGAAATCATTTGGTACTTGTCTTTCTCTGCCTGGCTTATTTCACTGAGCATAATACCCTCTAGCTCCATCCATGTTGTTGTAAATGGTAGGATTTGTTTTCTTCTTATGGCTGAATAATATTCCATTGTGTATATGTACCACATCTTCTTTATCCATTCATCTACTGATGGACACTTAGGTTGCTTCCGTTTCTTGGCAAAGGTAAATAGTGCTGTGATAAACATAGGGGTGCATATGTCTTTTTCAAACTGGACTTCTGCATTCTTAGGGTAAATTCCTAGGAGTGGAAATCCTGAGTCAAATGGTATTTCTACTTTGAGTTTTTTGAGGAAGCTCCATCTGCTTTCCACAAAACATTGAACTACTTTACATTCCTACTAGCAGTGTAGAGGGGTTCCCCTTTCTCCACAACCTCGCCAACATTTGTTGTTGCCTTGGATGGTGGCCATCCTAACTGGAGTGAGGTGATATCTCATTGTGGTTTTAATTTGCATTTCTCTGATGATTAGCATGTGGAGCATCTTTTCATGTGCCTGTTGGCCATCTGAATTTCTTCTTTGGAGAAGTGTCTGTTCATATCCTCTGCCCATTTTTTAATTGGGTTATTTGTTTTTTGTTTGTTGAGGTTCATGAGTTCTTTATATATTTTGGATGTCAACCCTTTATTGGATATGTGATTTATGAATATATTCTCCCATACTGTAGGATATCTTTTTATTCTACTAATGGTGTCCTTTATTGTACAGAAGCTTTTTAGTTTGATATAGTTCCACTTGTTCATTTTGCCTTTTGTTTCCCTTGCCTGTGGAGATATTTTCATGAAGTTGTTCATGTTTATATTCAAGAGAGTTTTGCCTATATTTTCTTCTAAGAGTTTTATGTTTTCATGACTCACATTCAGGTCTTTGATCCATTTCAAATTTACTTTTGTGTATGGAGTTAGACAGTAATCCAGTTTCATTCTCTTACATGTAGCTGTCCAGTTTTGCCAACACCAGCTGTTGGAGAGGCTGTCATTTCCCTATTGTATATCCATGGCTCCTTTATCATATATTAATTGACCATATATGCTTGGGTTAATATCTGGTCTCTCTATTCTGTTTCCCTGGTCTATGGATCTGTTCTTGTGCCAGTACCAAATTGTCTTGATTACTGTGGCTCAGAAAACTCTTCTTATATTGAAATTGAGGATGAGAATTTTACTAAGAAATTTACATTTTAAAAAATGTTATAGTGTATGATGACCTATATTTTTGTGTTAGCATTTGATACTTGAAACTTTTCCTTTCAAGGCTTTGTCCATTTCTAACAACCTTTGATTGCAAGAATATTCTTCAAAAAGTTAAAAATTACTGCTTTTTGTTTTTCAGTACCATTTGATAATAAAAGTCTCACAACTGAATGCCATCTTCTTGATTCAGTAAGTTTCCAACTTAATTTGGAAAGTTCCTTCATATTTTAGATTTATTTTATAAAATGATTATTACTCACTTTTCAATTTGTGTGCAAAGTGTAAATTTACATCTTTTCACTGCTTTTTTACTCTGAAACTTATTCATTATTTTTCTCAAAATGGGGAAAACTTTCATGTTTATATAAAATATGTTCTAGTATTTTATTTCCCTATTTGATTTATGTATTAAATATGTTATGACAAACAATTTAATTTGTAGCTTGGATTACGTTAGGTTTTTCTCAGTGATGCAAAAAGATGAGGCAAGGTTTCTGTTGAAGCATAGTTGAGGCAACTATGTTGAAGCATAGTTGGGGAGATAATATCTACCCTACCTTCATCATTGGTTATTTTATTCTAATTATTTTAGATTACTATATATATGTCCTGCTATTTTATGTGGAAGCTCCTTGGCCTTTATTTTTGGTAACCTCTTGTCTCTAAATCTAGTTCAAGCATTAGCCCTTCTGTGAAGCCTAGCTGTATAAGCTCTCGTCTCTCCCATGTTCATTTACATACAGGCACGGGTGCACAATGCAGACCCTGCACACATTTAATCTCTTATTAAGAGTATGATTAAATATATTACATATATTTCTAAAATCTATTTGCCTTATTAACTATAAATTTCTCTTTAATCAGAGCTGCCTGATTCATATTCATGCATGTTGGCACTGTGGCATGAGAGAAATCATGCTCTCTTGTCTCCTAGGTACTTACAACATTGGTTTTCAGCCATATCCCAGATATTTTTGTTTCAGTGATCTAGAGTAGGACCTTCATCAGTGATTCTAATGTGTAGCCAGGGCCAACAACTCTGGCTTACAGCCTCACCTTGTAATTTTCTAGGGCCAGCTGCTAAAATGGGTCAGGGAATGGCTTGGGTTTGATAATCTTTGATCTCAGAATATAAGAAATCCATTAAGGGAAATGTAGGATCAAACAACAACAGTATTTATTAACCTCATGAAGCCTGGCAACTGTTTGGCTTCCTGAAGCCGCAATTCCTCAAGGACTTCTTCATACGTTGGCTTTCATTATCTTTCAAAAATGCCTTCTTTGCATTCAGGTTTCTGAGCTGCCCTGTTTCAGTAGACTGAAGTGTGTTACTGTGACCCGTGCTCTGTTCTTTAATCATAGGCTGAAACCTAGAGGGTCAGGGCCTTTAAGGCCAATTTATGTAAACCTGATTTCTTCCAATTTCTAGATCTCAACTCTGAATGATTGGTTTTGATAATATATGGTATCTTAAGTAAATCTGGAAATTAATCATAATATTCTGGTTTTGATATATTAGTACTGTTTAAAAGTTCTTCACATCTACCTAATACAATATCTGGTTGATAAGTCTTAGTACCTTATAATTTAGTCTCCCTGTGAAGTCTTCTGTACTTCCATAAATATTAGAATTTAGATATTTTGATTTTTT